GCTTAGCAACGATGCTGGTGAAACTGATCGGACGATAGTTGGACTGATCCGATTGGTTATCCCGTTTAAAGATTGGGACAACTGTGGTATGTTTCCAGTCCTCCGGAATTCGGCCCGTGTTCAGAGAATCGTTGAACATTGTGACTAAGTGGGGATAATTAAGGATTCTATCGGTTTTATGACGGCTGGGTGGATATTGTCTGGACCCGCGAATTCTGAGATTTTCAGTCTTAAAGACTCAACGTCCGGTGTAGAGATCACCAGATCTGGCATGTCACTCACTCGATCGAGGGTATGGTAGTTGCCCAAGCTATCCAGGCGAAATACCTCTTGGAACGAGGCGAGGAATGTGTTGGCAATTTCCTTGTCAGTGATCAAGAGTTGTCTATTAATGTGAAGGGCATTGCTGATCACTTTTCTTGATGAGGACCAGGCTTGAGCATAGCCGAAGTATCTTTTTGGGTTTTTTGAGGCCTCTTCGGCTATGGATAGTTCATACTTGAGTCTAGCCACCCGTGCTACTTTGATAGCTTTATTGCGGAGACGTTTAAAGCGAGCAAAGAGCAAGGAGCTTCTCTGTTTGTTGAACGCCATCCATGCCTGGTGTTTCTTCTTAAACACCCGGCGGACTCTGGGTCGGAACCAGGGTTTGTGTCCCCTTATCCCGGTTGTTTTCACAGGCACGTAGACCTCCTTGAGGAGTACAATTTTGTCCCTTTTTCGGTTCCAGGCGTCCTCTGTGGAGCTCAGATAGTCCCAACACAGACCCTCTGCTCCGTTGACCAAGTAATCAATGTTGATGTTGTGGAATCTTCGAATTCCAGTTTTTGGCTTCGAGGTTTCTACTCGGTGAAATTTTAAGAACACGAGTGAATGGTCGCTTTTGCCTAAAGGAACTTTGGTCCTTATTTCCGCGACGTCATTGCCGTTTCTTCGTTAGAACAAGATCGAGAGTGGAGGGTGCTTGTCCAGGTATTATTCTGGTAGGTGCCATCACAAGCTGCGTCAGGGTTAGACCGGATATGGTGTTGAGCAGAGCCGTATCAAACCCAGTTCCGCGACATGATTGGTGCGCCCAGTTGACAGTGGGCGAGTTGAAATCACCTAGAATCAAGAGACGATATCCTGAGCTCGCAGCTCCAGGCAAGGCTTGAAGAAGTTCCTCATCTTCTTGGTGTGACGAGCTTGGGCTGCGATAGGTCCCGAAAGCCATAATGGTGGGATTCACGTGCAGAATACAGGCTGGTGGTTGAATGTTTGTTGAGCTAGCCATGAGATACATCGCTGACTGACGGATCATTTGCCGCACTAGTAGCAAGCGACCTCCACCAAGCGAGTTAATACGGTCGGAGAGGTAATGCTGAATGTTGCGGCTCCAGTCACCGATTTCGCTTTCCGTGAGGACGCACAGATAAATAGTGCCGAGAGTACCAGTCAACTCGTCTCTGTTGTTTAGGATGCTGCAAACATTTATCAGCACACAGGAGAGGATCTGCGGGTTGCGCTGTTTGGTGGTCGTTATGTCGGTGGAGTAATTCACGTAGGAGGTTCTCCGTTTTTTGGAATGTGGTCCAAGGAACGGGTTCTTTGCAGTTATTGTGGGATTTTCTCGGATGCTACTACCGGGGTGTCCGGGGGTAGTGAGGACCCGAGATGGTCACTTTGCGGGTGCGGCTTTCTGCATCAATTTTGATATTGGTCATTGTGCCAGCGATGCCTGACGCCTTGGATAGTAGAAAGTCTCGTTGTTTTGCACTGTGGAGCTCCACGAATAGCGGTCGACTGGTAGGGAGACCATTGTACATCAACAAATTCGCACTTGAGTGACGCGTAGCCGAAACCGATACGAATCCCGAAATAAAACACGATCAATCCGTTCTACGGTACTAAATTAACGAAATAATTGCAATATGTACAATAAAGCAAACTCAAATATGCGGCTAAAAACACTCAAGCAAGCGAGCCGAATGTGACACTCAGAGAGAGCCAAACAATCGCTCACGCTTCTTGATCACGCAAAATTCAAATGCGCCGGGCATCGAATTAACAGATAAAGAATAATGTATGGTGTTTGTGATCGAGAAGTGTCAATAGAGAAGCAACACACAGATAGAGATCCGTCGCCATAAATCATTATGGGTTTGGAAGGATTTTCAAAAATTTAACATGAGATACAGCCATCCTGTTTTTGTGGGACCCATTTCCCCAGCCTGTGTGTTCATTTCCAAGTCATTTTAGGGTGAAAACTGGCGTTGTGCAGCACACTCAGAATGAGTGTTTTCTCTGCGGCGATCCGTTGAGCAGTGTTGGAGATGACTGGCTCTGGGGCGAGGATTATCACGTTGCGCGTCCTGCCTAAGGTGGTCTCGCAGGACGCCTGGAGCCTCTGGATTTCTATGAGTTGCCTTTGCATGTGGCAAACCAAGTTCTTAAATCTAACTTCTTGTTTCTCGAACCTAGAAATAGCTGCCTTGAGACCATCAAGTGGAGCACCCATCTGACAACCTGTGGGTTGCCGGTTTACTTTTCGGCTGTCCTTTTAGGCTTGGGATTTCCTCTGTTTTCACCAATCCCTTTAAAATTTGTCTTGTTTCCATTAAATTGTCCAGCACGTTGAGTTGGCTGATGAGTTGAACCAGGCGCGGCTGATTTTGTGGAAATGTTGTTTTGTTGTTTCACAACAGTTTGGTTCTGAGGGACAACTGTTAATCGACTCTGTGTCATTTC